TGTAGATAGTGATCATGTCTCTCCTTGTTCTTCTGTCTTCCAGTGTCGTAAGGTGCATTTCACGCAGCCTTTCCTCGTAGCTCATGCCTCTTAAATCTGGGACTAGCCTAGTGGCATACCTCTAAACTTTTTCCAGCTTCGTTTTGTGCTTGACAAGGTACGGGCTCCATGCTGCGGCCGCATACTCCAGGCCCCAGTCTTACGTCTTACGTATGTGGTGTACAAGTTTCTGAACGATTCCTTACACAGGTTCCTGAAGGCAGTTCTAATGTTAGCCAGCCTCGTATACGCCGCTGACGTAATTCTTTTTATGTGGGGTTCAGGAGATAGGTTTGGTGTGATATCAACTCCTAGATCTTTCTCTCTGTTTCACGAAGGACTTTATCTCCCATTTGGTATCCTGTGTCTGACCTGTTTCCACCGCCTTCCTCATTACCTTACATTTACTGTGGTTGAACTGTAGTAACCATTTGTTGGACCATTCATGCAGTCTGTCTAAGTCATCTTGTGGCCTCATACTATCTTCCCCTGTCTTAATCCTTCTCATGATTTTTGCATCATCAGCAAACAATGAGAGGAACGATTCTATACCCTCTGGAAGATCATTTACATATATCAGAAACAGTATAGGTCCAAGGACGGATCTCTTCGGGACTCCACTAGTGACACCTCGCCGCTCTGAGGCCTCACCCTTCACAGTGACTCGTTGTCTTCTGTTGCTTAGGTACTCCCTTATCCAATGGAGTACCTTCCCTTTCACTCCTGCCTGCATCTCCAGCTTTTGCACCAGTCTCTTATGTGGTACTGTGTCAAAGGCTTTCTGACAGTCCAAAAATATACAGTCTGCCGACCCCTCTCTTTCTTGCTTGATTTTTGTTGCCTGGTCGTAGAATTCAGTTAATCCTGTGAGGCAGGACTTACCATCCCTGAACCCATGTTGGTGTTGTGTTACAAAGTTCCTCCGCTCCAGATGTTCCACTAGCTTTCTTCGCACAAGCTTCTCCATCAGCTTGCATGGTATGCAGGTTAGGGACACTGGCCTGTAGTTCAGTGCCTCCTGTCTATCCCCCTCCTTGTATATCAGGACTACATTAGCCGTATTCCAATTTTTTGGCAGTTCACCTGTTACCAGTGATTTGTTATACACCATGGAGAGTGGCAGGCACAGTGCTTCTGCTCCTTCCTTTAGTATCCATGGTGAGATTCTGTGTTGGCCTTTAGTCTTTGTCACATACAACTCTAGCAAGAGCTTCCTTGCAGGAGGGGGGGAGTGTGAGGCAGCTTCCGGGTTGCAACAGAGTGCAGGGAGACACTTGTGGTGGTCCGCCTGCTGCTGCTGCTGCTGCTGCTGCTGCTGCCGCCGCTGCTGCTTGAGAGAAAGTTACTCTTCTCTCCGGCTTATAGGGACGCGCTTGTTAGTACGGGCGCGTGTACGCCTACTTGCTTACCCAAGCCTCATTCCGTATCTTCACTTGGTCAGTGATGACACTTGTATATCTGAAGTTCATTAGCGTTCTTAGTGTGTGCCTACCTCCTTCCCTCGTTCTTGTGGCCTGCCTTATCAAGTCTCTATCGGCACAACAAAATTGTAGCTAACCTAACTTGATAATTTTTTTTTTTAATAAAAAACGGTTTACACACTACTCACAACTGCTGACGTCCGAACACTTCCGGAACAAGTGCTTCACTGACGACTTTTGTTTGAACCACAATGCTGTAAATGCCTCACCCACGTACTACAAATAATCGCCAACAGAACCTAAACACCTAACCTAACCTATGTCTATATATGCACATTATGCTAATATAAACCAATATTAACTTATATTTGAGAAAATTCCCGTTTTGAATGAACAGTATGTAAAAATTTATGAATGCGTCTGTGGGGTCGACCGCTGGATGGAATGGACCTGATCTGAGGACGGGTTGGCACTTGTTCCGGAAGTGTTCGAACGTCATCAGTTGTGAGTCGTGTGTAAACCGTTTTTCATTAATAAACAGCGGGTTTGGCGGGTGCATGGAATGGACTTTGGTCTTTGTTTAGAGGACGCCTAATTTTTGTACGCAGATTGAAGTAGGAATATATTAGAGAATAAGGTAATAGATGTGTGTGTGAGACTGCGACAGCGGAAGTTATAAGTTTGAGTGTGAATATCTGGGCGGAGGTGGTTGTGGAGACTTGTGGAAGGACGCCATGTTGATAACGGGCGGGGCTGTGACCAGCATGGCCGGAGGACAGGTGGCCAGGCCCATGGCCAGGTGTTCCATTTACACACGTGTTGTGTCATTCTTCACCTTGATGCAAACACCAGGGAAGTGTAGTACGTTTGTCCATACAGGACACCTTGTAGTGTGGCCACCGTCCCGTGCTCTACACCAGGCACGGTAGTGCTCACACTACACCCTCCCACTGTCTCTACCTCCTGGATACACTCTACACGTACAAGTGTACATTTACTGGAAGCTGTTTCCTCTCCTGTGTGTGTGTGTGTGTGTGTGTGTGTGTGTGTGTGTGTGTGTGTGTGTGTGTGTGTGTGTGTGTGTGTGTGTGTGTGTGTATGTGTGTCCGTCCTGCATTAAGCCAGGCGTCCCTCGGGAGCCGGTCGGCCGAGCGGACAGCACGCTGGACTTGTGATCCTGGGTTCGATCCCAGGCGCCGGCGAGAAACAATGGGCAGAGTTTCTTTCACCCTATGCCCCCTGTTACCTAGCAGTAAAATAGGTACCTGGGTGTTAGTCAGCTGTCACGGCCTGATTCCTGGGGGTGGAGGACACTAAAGCCCCGAAATCATCTCAAGATAACACTACTCAGGTGGAAATACTCGCATGTCCACGCTCACTTATATCTTAATACGCTATTTTTAACATCTTGTTTATATTTGTTTAGTTCATTTATTGTGTTGTGTTTAGACAGTGGAATGTAGAGAAGTAGACGACTACGGAGTCTGTTGGTCCCAAGTTCGATTCCCGGAGAGGGCGAGACGTTTAGGCACATTGCCATAAACATGACTACTATGTTCAAAATAGCAATAAATTGATTCCTGGGAGTTAGACAACTGTTGTGAGTTGCATGGTGGGAAGGTAATGACAAGTTGACATAGAGGGCCCCAGATAACTACGAGGCTTGCCGTTGTCAAGAGTGGCAAGGCTTAAGATGATGGCATACATGCCAAGTTGAAGAGTGTCAACAACGGTTCCTCTTGAGGTTATCTTGAGATGATTTCGGGGCTTTAGTGTCCCCGCGGCCCGGTCCTCGACCAGGCCTCCACCCCCAGGAAGCAGCCCGTGACAGCTGACTAACTCCCAGGTACCTATTTACTGCTAGGTAACAGGGGCATTCAGGGTGAAAGAAACTTTGCCCATTTGTTTCTGCCTCGTGCGGGAATCGAACCCGCGCCACAGAATTACGAGTCCTGCGCGCTATCCACCAGTCTACGAGGCCCCATGTCCCGCCCACCCCCCCCACCACCCCCACGGTGGGGGTGGTGGGGGGGGCGGGGGTGGTAACATGAAGATCTTGGTATAGGTGGAGGGTTGAGGCGAAGGTTGATGCCGCGGCTCATGTATTACAGCAGTGGTCACCAACACCACGCCAACCTTCACATAGTCTTCAGTCGCAAGGTATTTGACAATAAATAGTGAGAGCCAGTTTGCCGCCAGCATGGTGGCTTATTTTACACACACACACACACACACACACACACACACACACACACACACACACACACACACACACACACACACACACACACACACACACACACACATATTGTCGTACCTAGTAGCGAAAACGCACTTCTCAGCCTACTATGCAAGGCCCGATTTGCCTAATAAGCCAAGTTTTCCTGAATTAATATACTTTCTCTAATTTTTTCTTATGAAATGATAAAGCTACCCATTTCATTATGTATGAGGTCAATTTTTTTTATTGGAGTTAAAATTAACGTAGATATATGACCGAACCTAACCAACCCTACCTAACCTAACCTATCTTCATAGGTTAGGTTAGGTAGCCGAAAAAGTTAGGTTAGGTAGCCGAAAAAGTTAGGTTAGGTAGTCGAAAAACTTAATTCATGAAAACTTGGGTTATTAGGCAAATCGGGCCTTGCATAGTAGGCTGAGAAGTGCGTTCTGGCTACTAGGTACGACATATATACATATATATATATATATATATATACATATATACATATATAAATATATATATATATATATATATATATATATATATATATATATATATATATATACATATACATATATAAATATAATATAATATTATAATACCTACCCAGAACTGGGGCCAGCATGCTGAGAAAGCATGGGCCCCTCACATTAACGCTGTAGTTTAAACAAGGCGAACCTTACGAACATAAGAGATATTTGTGGTGTGGAGGTGGTGTGTAACCTGCCTCTGACGTCATAATTGTCATGGCGGTAGAGGTATAGGCCTACTGTCAGGAGGCGGGTGTGGGGAAGGCAGTCGTCAACAGCCCAACACAGTACTCTAAACAACCATTTGTCCTGAAACTAAGCCTTCCTTATAGTATAGTGTTTCATACAATGTTTTTACGCTATCGACCCCACCGTAATAATTACGGTAGTTTAGGGAAATTAAAGGCCTCGCAATGTTGAAGGTTGATAACGCTTAATGATTAGATGATTAAGAGCTCCGGTTGGTTAGGTGCGTTCATGTCTTAAGTTGTGAAGCTTGAGGATAGGAGCACCTGCCTTGTTAACGTCGCGGTGTCTGAGAGAGCGACCCGCTTTATTGACCAGTGGAGGCCTGGCCCAGACCAAGGTCAACACTGTTGTGTTTGTGTGCTCCTGTGACACACACACACACACACACACACACACACACACACACACACACACACACACACACACAGCCCGTGTAGGTCTACTTCAGCCAGGCACATCTCCACCTCTCACACACTCCCTCTCTCGTAACCTCTCCACACAGTACCGGCCACAATACCCACAACACTGGCTCATCACAGCCCTTTCCCGCTTCTCCTGGGCCGCTCCCCGCTTCTTGAGGGCCCCTTCCCGCTTGTCGAGGGCCCCTCCTCGCTTGTCGAGGGCCCCTCCTCGCTTGTCGAGGGCCCCTCCTCGCTTGTCGAGGGCCCCTCCTCGCTTGTCGAGGGCCCCTCCTCGCTTGTCGAGGGCCCCCTCCTCGCTTGTCGAGGGCCCCTCCCTGCTTCTGGAGGTGGTCCTCCCGCCCACCGTAGCCCCGGGCAGGGCTGGCAATGGACGCAAAAGGGAGTTCACTGACTTTCACCGTCGGCATGTTCCCCCGGGGAACCCCGACCTGGATGGGAGGGAGGGAAGGACGGTCTTGGGGTAGGGGGGTGTACAGGTAGGGATGATAAGTATATAAATTTTAAAGGTTGATAGATGTTAATCTTCTTGTTTGAGGAGCTGTTCACTTGAGACAGTTAAGCAAGTCCCAGCTGTGTCTGGGTACAAGTGACAGGATGAACAACCCAGCGGGTTTTCTTCCTATTGGCGAGTGTTGTACATGCTGCTATGGCGGTGTGTCCACTCACTGGATGAGTGGCGCTGCCCAATACTGTCACTATGGCGGTGTGTCCACTCACAGGATGAGTGGCGCTGCCCAATACTGTCACTATGGCGGTGTGTCCACTCACAGGATGAGTGGCGCTGCCCAATACTGTCACTATGGCGGTGTGTCCATTCACAGGATGAGTGGCGCTGCCCAATACTGTCACTATGGCGGTGTGTCCATTCACAGGATGAGTGACGCTGCCCAATACTGTCACTATGGCGGTGTGTCCATTCACAGGATGAGTGGCGCTGCCCAATACTGTCACTATGGCGGTGTGTCCACTCACAAGATGAGTGGCGCTGCCCAATACTGTCACTATGGCGGTGTGTCCACTCACAGGATGAGTGGCGCTGCCCAATACTGTCACTATGGCGGTGTGTCCACTCACAAGATGAGTGGCGCTGCCCAATACTGTCACTATGGCGGTGTGTCCACTCACAGGACAAGTGGCGCTGCCCAATAACCTCCCCCCCCCCCTTTTCGGGGCAAAAATACAAAATAAAATATATGCATGTCTAGTGCGAGTGTGTGTGTGTGTGTGTGTGTGTGACACACGTGCATTGGGTGTGCACACATGTGCGGGGGAAGGGAGGGGGGGGGGTTATGCAGACATTTCTGTTTACCAGACTGTTGGTGGTTGTATATAGGTAACTGGTTGTGTGTGGTGAGGGAGATGGCGCCACCTGCCTCTTAGTGCCTCTTGTGTTGAGATCTTCCCTCATACTAACTTTATGTCGCACCTGCTCTTAGAGCAGTTAATAAAGACGACTTCCATCACACCTGCAGAGACGGCTGCCAGAGTCAAGAGGTTGTGCCTCTGAGCAAGAGGAAAACTAGAGGAAGGTGAGGTAATTATGAGGAGAAAGGGCTAAGCCAGCATGACTATACAGCACCTGGGATATACGAGAGGTCCAGCAGCTCCAATATGAGACTCGACCCACACTTCACGAGGGCAACAAACGGAGGGTTCTTGAGGTTATCTTGAGGTTATCTTGAGATGATTTCGGGGCTTTTTAGTGTCCCCGCGGCTCGGTCCTCGACCAGGCCTCCACCCCCAGGAAGCAGCCCGTGACAGCTGACTAACTCCCAGGTACCTATTTACTGCTAGGTAACAGGGGCACTTAGGGTGAAAGAAACTTTGCCCATTTGTTTCTGCCTCGTGCGGGAATCGAACCCGCGCCACAGAATTACGAGTCCTGCGCGCTATCCACCAGGCTACGAGACCCCCTCGGAAGGGGTTCGGAAGGACTGGTAGAAAATAAAGTAGGACATATGTGAGGAAGTGAAGAGAAGCTTGCAGGGTGTCACACTATAGCAACACTCTGACAATTGAGGCATGTTGCTAAACTAAGCAGTACTGCATGAGGACCATGGCGGTTATCGACGTATACCTATCTTGAGGTTATCTTGAGATGATTTCGGGGCTTTTTTAGTGGCCCCGCGGCCAAGTTCAAGTATGTTTATTGAGATTAGCAAGAAATACATCTCAAAGGGATAGAGTAGCTTAGGCTATTTCTACCCGCCCCAACCCCGCGGCCAGGCCTCCACCCCCAGGAAGCAGCCCGTGACAGCTAACTAACACCCAGGTACCTATTTTACTGCTAGGTAACAGGGGCATAGGGTGAAAGAAACTCTGCCCATTGTTTCTCGCCGGCGCCTGGGATCGAACCCGGGACCACAGGATCACAAGTCCAGCGTGCTGTCCGCTCGGCCGACCGGCTCCCTAAGGCCAAACATCGTCGTACTACCAAATGGAAGCGCCTAGGGAAGTGCACATAGTGTTCCGTTTTCTGTTTTGGGTGATGGGATACCATCTTGTAAGGGGTTCCATGCTGGTGCTACTTATTACAGAACTTGTGTGACAGGCTGTGTATATTGTTGCTGAGTGGCCATGCTCAGGTGGTCAAAGTTGACCTGTATGGTTGTCCACATTGTATACGTTACTCAGGTTGTAATAATTAGATGTATATCTTGTGTTAAAGCTGAGGTGTATAGTTGACGGTGTAACCCTTGTTCTTCCCGGGCCACCAGTCCTCAAACATTTACATCAACTGTACAGGTTTCCTCAATCATGACGGCCTCATTTTCATTTATTGAACAGTTTACAAACTTCAAAACTTCTCAATCGAAGGTTGTTATTCTTATAAAGAACCTCATAGTGTTTCGGAGCTCAAAAACTGTTTAATAAATGTAAACAAAGTCGCCGTAATGTTAGAAAGGTGCACAGGTTTCGTATTTGTGTAAATGCTTGATGAATCCTAGCCATGATTCCTATTCTAAATCATCCCTCTTTAGTTCTGGTGCCCCTCTTGATCTTCTGTACCCCCTCACGGGCTATCCATGCACTTAAGCCATAAGTAGCCAATAACGTGGCTACTTGTAGCCACGTTCCGGTAAAGAGAGGTCCCCGGACAAGGTGCCGCTAGCACGGTTAACATCTGTATGGCCGCTCATGGCATCACAGTCCACGCTGTTTTAAATTTAAATTTTGCCCCGAGGGGCGAGTTTATTGGGCAGCGCCACTCATCTTGTGACTGGACACACCGCCATAGTGACAGTATTGGGCAGCGCCACTCATCCTGTGACTGGACACACCACCATAGTGACAGTATTGGGCAGCGCCACTCATCCTGTGAGTGGACACACCGCCATAGTGACAGTATTGGGCAGCGCCACTCATCTTGTGAGTGGACACACCGCCATAGTGACAGTATTGGGCAGCGCCACTCATCTTGTGAGTGGACACACCGCCATAGTGACAGTATTGGGCAGCGCCACTCATCTTGTGAGTGGACACACCGCCATAGTGACAGTATTGGGCAGCGCCACTCATCCTGTGAGTGGACACACCACCATAGTGACAGTATTGGGCAGCGCCACTCATCCTGTGAGTGGACACACCGCCATAGTGACAGTATTGGGCAGCGCCACTCATCCTGTGAGTGGACACACCGCCATAGTGACAGTATTGGGCAGCGCCACTCATCCTGTGAGTGGACACACCGCCATAGCAGCATGTACAACACTCCCCAATAGAAAGAAAACCCGCTGGGTTGTTCATCCTGTCACTTGTACCCAGACACAGCTGGGACTTGCTTAACTGTCTCAAGTGAACAGCTCCTCAAACCAGAAGATTAACATCTATGAACCCTCTGCTGCGACACAACCTTTACCATATCTAGTGAGCCTAGACTTATTATGAATATGCCCGACAGCTCTCATCACACAATTTGAAGTATATTGGTATTAATATGTCGTGTAAATGGTATACACTTTTGTTTTGCTCTCTCCTTTTTCTTCTTACTACTATGCTTCTCTCCATTCTCTTGCCACCCGTCGGTCTCTCTCTCCCCCGGCTACATAACCTGGTGGGGGTGTTGGTAGCCGCGTGCCCGTGACCCTGAGACACACACTGTGAGTGTTTACCTCACACGGGAAAGCTGTGAAGTGGGTCGGGCCCGGGGGGAGAGGGTGGGGGTAGGAATGACGGTATCCTGCGTGTTGGGGCTTATTGGAGGGGGGTGGGGGGTGTTAGGCGGGTGAGGAAGATGGGAATTAGAGGGCGTGTTAAGAGGCGTATGTGTTATTGAGACATGTACTCACCTAGTTGTGTTTGTGGGGGTTGAGCTCTGGCTCTTTGGTCCCGCCTCTCAACTGTCAATCAACAGGTGTACAGATTCCTGAGCCTATTGGGCTCTATCATATCTACACTTGAAACTGTATATGGAGTCAGCCTCCACCACATCACCCCCTAATGCATTCCATTTGTCAACCACTCTGACACTAAAAAAGTTTTTTCTAATATATGTGTGTGTGTGTGTGGTGGGAGCTACGGTAAGTTTGTTCTCTCTCATCAGGGAGCTCTGTGTGTGTGTGTGTGTCTTAATATGCATTTCAGCATATATAGATGTTTAAACAAACACTACATAGCATTCATATATAAGCACTCAGATGCTTTCACACATTTTGATGTTCTGTTTAAGGCTCTTCATTTTATCATTATATATATTTTGTAAGGAGGGGAGGGATTTCTGGTCAGTATGTCATCTAAGGATTATGTACTGTGGGGCTGGGTATCCAGTGAGTAGATCGAGGCTCGTGGGCCACGAGCTGTGGGAGCGGGGCGTCTCATTTTTATTTCATTATGTTATATACACGAAGGTTAATTGGGTTGTGAGAGTACATAACATTGGTGTTCTTACATGCTGGTAAAGCCACTAACACGCATAGCGCTTCAGGCGGATCTTGGAGTTATATTTCTAACATTGTTATAATATATATTGTTAACTATAACTACCTCATACTTAAACTCCAGCATTATAGAATCCGAGGCCTTGCCCTGGATTATATCCCATCCTATCTTAGTGACGGACACCAATGTGTAGCCATCAATGATATAACCTCTCCCACTCTACCATTAACCGTAAGGGTGCCACAGGGCAGCATCCTAGGACCCTCCTGTTTCTTTTATACATCAATGATCTGCCTAGTGTCTCTAACATTCTTAAACCTATATTGTTTGCTGGTGATACTACCCTCATCTACTCAGACCCTAACCCATACATATTAAATAATGTTGTAAATAACGAATTACAAAAAGTCCACTTATGGATGTCAACCAACAAACTCACACTAAACATAGAAAAGACCTACTACATCTTATTTGGAAGTAAA